ATCAATTTGTTAAAGGATCTCACTGAGCTTCTCTTTCCTTATCTGTACAACAAGGAACATACAAATATCTACTTTACTAAGTGGCTGTGGGAAAAAAGGTAACAAATACAAGAACTAAGAACCAGGCCTGGTATATTTTGTGTCTAATGAATACTAACAATTTATTTTTGTTATTGTGGTTATTGTTTATGAAGTGTTTTTTTCACATTTGTAAACTACGACATAATTGAAGCTTATTTTCCCAATCACCACCACTTAGTAAACCATCTTTTTCCTCAGTGAATTCCACAAATCACCCAACTTCGCTAACAGAAAACTTACATCCTATACACATAGACTGTTGCGCCTCCGTCTCATCCCCTCCGTCCCGTCCCCTGCGCCGCCAGTGCCCTCTGCGCCCCGGGGCGGCTGTGGAAACACCTGAAGCTCCTGGTGTGCACCGATTCAAAAACAGACTCAGAAAAAAGGCCATATAAAGCTCTAACTGCTAAGGGTAGTGTTTCAGTCAGAGTCTCAGAAAGGAAAGAGGAACATGGTTGCTCAGACTAATGGCTACCACCCAGTAAATAGACAGGATTTTCAAAGCACTTTGGTGTGGTACCTCATCCCGGAATCCACCAATAACAGTGATGTGCCATCGCTGCTGAGAGCTGGCACACAGCCAGTGGCCTTGGATACTTGATGTCCATTCACTTCCCTCTCTCTCTCTTTTTTTTAAGTGAAATAATGTATTTAATGGTTTATTATAGTGCCTGGTATAAAGTAAGGGATTGGTAATTTTTTTGCTTCTGTTTTTATATCTTTTTATTAAATTGATCAGGGTGATATTGGTTAATAAAATTACATAGGTTTCAAGAGCACAATTCTATAATACATCACCTGTATATTGTATTGTGTGTCTACCACCCACATTCGAATCTTCTTCCATCACCATAAATTTTACCCCCTTTACCAGAAGCCACATCTCAAGCTCATTCAGACATTGTGACCTGGCTTCCACCTGCCTTTCCACTGCGTCCTCCATGGGCCACTTACTAACTTGGCATAAAAAAGCACACCAGGCGCTTCTAAACCGCCCTGCTTTGGCCTTCGCTATTATCTCGGCCTGGAGCACCCTCCTGTCCTCACCTCCTACTACTGCCCCGTCTTACCGTCCTCTATGGCTTAGTACAAGCGCCACCTTCTCTCTGATTTCCCTCCTTTTGATATAATAAAGTGCCATGTTTCACAAATTTTCCTAACCCTTTGCTTGTGTTGCTATTGTTATAACTAACCTATAGTATCCGGAGGTATGCGGTGAGCATTATTCTAGGTGCTTTCTGTACGCTATCATGTAATTTCTCTACAAACTTGTATAACATGATTACGACCCCCATTTTACACATGGGGAAACTGAAGCACTGAGTTGAACTCACCAATGACCACACAACAAGAAAGGGATACATCAGAATTCTGAGCACGTTCTGTCAGCTCCTGAATCCCTAGGTCTTTCACTCAGTTATGCTGCCTCTCCTTGATGGCCCTATTTCCACTTGGTTAGTTAACTCTATACATACATGCCTGTCCCATGGGTGTATAGCAAATCCCTTAAGGACAGGGACCTGGGCATGTCCATCTTTATAAATGTATAATGCATTCACTTATACAAAGTTCTAAGGAGAATAAAATGAGACAGTACATTTAAAGCACTTAGCATAGTGCTATACAATTAATAAGTACCAAATTATTTGTTGGTTTTGTTGTTATTGTCATTGTTGTTGTCACCATGGCACATGCCAAGAATAAAGCCTTGTACATGAATTCTGAAATAAGTTAATTTCTGAGAAGCAAATAAAATAGATAAGGACCAGGAGAGCCAAAGCCACTTTGGTTTGGCATTTCCCCACGCTACTTGACTGTTCTATCAGAAACAACAAGAGTTGCATAGAAACTTCCTTAAGTTTCTGCGATAGGGTCCATTGATTTCTTTACCTTTCTACTGCCACGTAGATGTTAGGAAAACTTCCTATTTAGTACAAAGCTCTTGCAGCTTTGTTACTTTCTTGTTGACCTTTCCTATGAGATTTGTCAAGGCTCCCCTCGGAGGGGTAGGTAGCCCCTTAACAAGTTGTGAGCTGGGAGTAGAAAATCACAAGAGTAAATGGAAACATAGGGGGCCAATGTAATGTGAAATCCTCATGCCTATAAACATAATGAAACAGTGTCTTTCGTCCTCATTGCATTTCACAGTACTTTAAACCTTCATATTTCTTTACTCATTTGTTTTCATCAGTCGCCTCCTAGCAGAAGTAAGCTTTCTCAGAGAAAGCAATCTGTCCATCTTATTCACTCCTATCCTCTAGTATCTAACTCATATCTGGTCCATAGCAGTTGCTCATTAAATATTGGTCAATTGATTGCATTTGTGTATATGTATATATGAATATGATATAATTCTATGGTTTATGAATAAATATGCATACATCCCCATACAGTAAGTACATAGTGTACATTTGTGTGTATATTTATAATCTAATCTGCACAAATACACACACACACACACACACATACATTTGTACAGAGGATATTTCAAACTGGAAAATGCAGGTACCTGTTTGCCAAAGTAGGGTCTCCTGAACATAATAAAGTCTTCCGTATAACCTGTCTAATATTTAACAACTACACTACAACTCATACTTTTCTGATCATTTTACACTCCTTGTCCCTGTTTATTAGCTTAAGTGTGAAGGGTGTAAGGAAACGTGGGCATACATGACCCAATCAAATTTTTCTTAAATTTGGCAGATGATACAGTCCAAGTTCATATGAGTTAGCAAGTTTTCCTTACTGAAGTTGTAACATACACAGAAAATTATAATTTTAACAATTATAACAACACCATTGGCTGGGTAAGTATGCCAGACACTTAGCATCAGTGTTTTGTTTTGTTTTGTTTTTTTAATTTAAAGATTATACCAACCCTGGAAGGTAGATGTTATTATCCCATTTATAAATAAGGAAACTAAGACTCAAAAAGTTAGAGTAACTCGCCCAGGATGCTCCTGTTTAACTAGTCATGACATAGTCGATCTAAAAATTCACGCTTCTACTCCAAAGCTCCAACTCTTTTCAGTAAACAACAGTGCCTCTCACACCATTTTACAGACACTAACTTTGAGGGGTAAGTGTTTAGGCAGTTTTTATAATGTATGCATTCCAGTGAGTAATTCTCCGCACATAGAGACAGACCAAATGACAGCCAAACACACTGAAGATCACGCCAGGCTCCAGACAGCAAGGGGCAAATGTGTCTCTGAAACTATCAGCCTGAGTTTCTCAGAATATGAAACATTTTCCACTTGATTATGTCCTCTAAAAGAAATCTACTCTCTAACAGAGCTTCATTATTCCTCCTCCTATACAGGAAAAAAAAAAAAAAAAGGACTCTTTCACTGCAAACCAATGGGAAGTTCTTAACTCATTTCCTTATACTACTCGAAATGAAAGTGCTTTCTGTCTTTAGAGAAAAGAATTGCTGGGTGCTACGCCTTTTGGGTGCTTTTGAGTCTAACACTCAATACTGTGGAGGTGAGAGTAGGTTAACCCTTATATCTTTTCAAGGGGAATGGGGTGATTTTTAAACTTAATGAAAGAAGAAATCTAAAAAGAGTGAGAAAAGAAGTCTTCCCTCCTGGTTTAAAGGAGAATTCAGCAACCTACCCTGAAAGAATTGGCTATTAGCTCTTTGACCTTCTTTCCAGGAGCAGGCCTGAAATGCAGAGGGAAACCATTTGTGTTTAAAGGTTTTTTAAAATTTATAGATATTTCTGAACGTTGTAACAGTAATGAAAAATGTTTACATTTGGCTCTCACCTGCCCATATACTATTTGAAAGATCCTCTGCAGAGGAAAGGAAAGCACTTCCCATTCAGACCACTAAAATCACAGGAAGAGCCAACCGCAGCCTCCTCAGCCCCAGGGACAGAGAGCCAACGGGTGCCTGGCTGAGGTGGAAGCACCAGTGTGTCCCCCAAAGTGCCCAGGGAAGTAGAAAGGAAGCGGAAACAGCTCTGCCTTCCCCTTCAATCCACATAAAACCCCTGCTGCCAAGAACTTATTTTTAGACACTTAAACTGAAATTCTCACCACCACCACCCCCACAAAAAAAAAAAAAAAAGGAAACTGCAACCTCTGAGTGATCCTCAGAGTTCCAGTATCCAACCTGGTTATAGTTTTCTGCTTTAAGGTCCTTTCCTAAACCCATCTCCCATCCTTCAAAAGGCTTCCCCAGTCTAAGCCAAGAGAAAGATCTGGGAGCTTTAGAGGTTTTGTGATGAAAATCCCAGCAGCCTCGCTTCAAGTGCACATGACCTTGGGAGAGTAGCTCATCCTTCTGAAGACTCAGTTTGTGGTTCATAACATGGGGTTAACATCTGTTATTAGAAAGTTGTTGAGACTTCGACATAAAAATCATATAGCACATAGCTCTTAGTAGGGCTTCAGTAGGTGCCCTGTGTTTGTTATGGGCACACTGCACAAAGCCACTGGATCTTGGCTGAGCGTGCATGTTTTCACTGCCCAGGACTTGGCCATTACTCCCTCATTAGTGATTTATGTTGCTAACAATTCACCTAACCTCATTAAGACATCGCTTACCTGCTTCTAGCTCTCCATTGCTTCAAACGTCTGCAGAGCCCAAGAACTAAATCCTCATTAAGTGCTAGGCACAAAGTTCGCCTGAGTTCCCCTTCCCACCAGTCATCTTCTAATGGTCGCATACAACTCAGGTTTAGCCAGAAATGTGCAAGGCTTTTTGTATGGACAAAGCAGGTGTCTGCCCATCTCTTGGAGCAAGGCTTGGGAAGGGCTCCTGACTAAAGTCTGCACGTTGGGAACGGAAAGGACAAGCAAGGCTGGATAAAAAGGGATGCCTTTGTGAGGCGGTCCTCGCTGGTGACCCTGTTCTTGGTGCCCTGGGAGGAAAGGACTCGAGCGGGGAGGAGCCGGGAGGGCAAGAGTACCTGAAAAGTCTGGCCGCTGTCTGGTTCCTTCTCCACGCCGTGCCCTGTTGCAGCACCCCCTGCACGATCTCCTTCTCGTTGGGCAGCCGGTAGACGGGGAAAATGTAGAGCCAACAGAGGACCACGACGCAGAGGGCACTAGCCCCCACCGGCAGCCGGGTCCGCGGGAACTTGCACGCCAGTACAGCCATGGCCCCTCTGGACGTGTGTCGCCGGGCCCGCCCGCAGGGGCTCATCGCAGCCCCAGGGTCCCGGGGGAGGGGCGGGGGGGACGAAGGCCAGAGCCTCCGCACTAAGAGAGGCGAAGTGACAGTGGAGGGTGTCGCCAGCGCCGCCCCCCCATGCACACACACCTTTCACTTTCTTGCTTGCACTTGCACAAATGCTTCTTCAGCCCCCACGGCCCCAAAGGTCAGAACAAGGATTTTTTTCAATGCAACTTTTTCAAGGATTTCTTTCTAAGGGAAGTGGCTGGGGGGAAAGTCACGAGCTATGGCCATAGTAGCTTCCCCTGAAGAAGGCGGGCGTTGGGGGTCTCCGCGAGCGCGGAGAGCTACGGCGGTGAATCGCTCCCGCTGGTTTTGCAGCATCACTGTCGCTCTCCGCGTGGGTCCGGGGAGCCGCTCGGCTCCCTCCCAGACATTTGGCCCGCGGCGTCCCCTTCTGAGAGATGCTCCTGCGTCCTTCGCCGTCTCTCCCCGCCTCCCGCGCTGCCAGGCACCCTCCCTCCGGACGCGCTCTCCGCGCCGCGCCAAGTCCTTGGAAATTTCCACGGCGGCCCGGGACCGCTATCCTGCCCCGGGCTTCTCCGCCTCGTCAGCCAGGACCCCCGCTCCCCACCCCTCCCGGAGAAGAAAAGAATTCGTTCTCATCAGTTAATTCAGCAGCGCCGCAGCCTTCCGCTGCGCCCCGGACTTCGCAGACAAACGCCCCGGGATTGGTGGAAATCAAGGTCCCCCTCCCTCCCCCACTCGCAAAATTGCCTCCTTCGACCCGTTCAGATCCGCGACGCTCGGCTGGAGCGTGCGGCCCTCTGTCTCGCCTTTGCTCTCTGGAGATAGTGGCAAACAATAAAAAAAATTATATACACAAATATATATACATCTACAAATATAAATATATACATATATACGTGTGTGTGTGTGTGTGTGTGTACCCTTCAGCGTGGCAGAGACTGATAACCCCACTCTTGGACATGCAGCCGGCATGCAGGAACTGTCACCCTGACGGGTCACCCTGGTCTCTTTCTACCTGCTTGGTTATTAACCTGCAAAAAGACGCGAGGAGGCAAGCGGAGATTTATCTTTTCCTGGGCTCCCACCCACATTACCCAGTCCCGGAGCCGCAGCTCCAAAGGGCGCGCACGCGCGCACGTGCACACTCACAGACACACCGACGCTCACGGGCGCGCGCGCGCGCGCATGAGGAAGAGCGTGCACGTCGGAGTCCTCCGCCTCGCCTCCGCCCAGCAGGGAGAGGCGTTGCAGCATCCAGATGTGTAGGTACCTGGTTCCCAAGCACGCACACCTCCGGACGTGACAGTGACTTGGAGGTGCGTCCGCCAACTGCACCTTTTAAATTAAAGGGCCGTTGTTCTTAACGTGTCTATCTGGCTCCACGGACTAGTTCTTCACAACCTCGACCTTGGAAAAGTGCCACCCCCCTGGCCCCGCGGAGCGGATGGACCCACTGTTAACCATTTCTGCTTGCCTCGGCGACCGACGCAGAGCTCGAGTACCTCCTAGCGGTTGCTTATTGCGTTTGCTTAAGCATCGTCAAGCGTAAAGTGTGCAAAGATAAAGCGGCTGCCTTCTATCCAGGTTGGCTGAGTAATCAGAAAACGGGAATCTACGGCCTTAGCGCCATTTGCTCAGCCGACCAGGCTTCAGCGCCGAGTGCTGCGTACGTTGACTTCTATGCGGCCTTGCTACACAAAGAAGTAGGACTTAAGAAGTTGATAGAAAGTTATTTACCAAAACCAACCAGCTACCGTAGTCTCATTCTTCCAGCACTGTCGTACACTCTTAGGAGCATGAACCTGAAGGTGTGGCAGATGAGAAGGAACCTTTGTGTCTTGTCGTCTCTATGGGGCCGCATTAACATTTTTTCATCTCCCTGTGACTCTTACCTTTTTCTCCTTAGGCCAGAGTGGATACCTCCGTGTATACCTTCTTTTGTCTTACTGTTTTGTTGCACAGCTTCTTCCTCCTCCCATGGAATGTTTTCTTATTCCTCCATACAAATCCAATGCATCACTCAAGGTCAACCCGACTGGCTAGGCATTTCTCTCTGCATGTGTTCCTCTACCAGCTAAAACACAGGCTTCATGGGGTAGGAACTCCATAAATGCTTGTGGATTTTCAGTTGCTCTCTCCTTAGACCTTCTGTTCTGAATGTCTATAGTATTTGCTGGCTCCAACAGACAATAAAACATTTAAGTGTGTTGTGTTACTAGCATTTTTCATACGTAACTTTGTCTCAGCAACTGGGCAGTAAGAGTATCTGGTCTCTCATATCAAATGACAAGCTGTGCATTTGGTCCAAATGAGGGCTCTGCGTGACATGCCTACATGTCTGAGGGAAGAGCAGGAACAATGTTTTGTATTTTACTCATATTCCTCCAGGTACCAATTCGGGCTGGAGCACATACATACTCAACAAATAATTGTTGTTTGATTGTTTGCTTGATATATTCAAAGGCCTCAGATTCATTCAGACTGTTGCTAAGGCAACACTGTTTACAAAAAAGCATAAACTCCCACAGTTTAATGTTTTAAATAAAATATTTTACCTGATACTTAGCTAACTAGTTTTTATGCTTGTTGGTACATAGTTTAGGTATTGTTTTATTCTTCTGCATTTGAGTATACATAAAAGGTTTGCTCAGGAAACAAACAATTTTTAAAACTCTGTAAATGTTCATTTATTGAACTAGTAAACAGCATGTGCAAAGTTACTTTATACCATAAGTAAGCTTGTTGGGCAATGCATCTGTGACAGAAGAGTTGTAATGAAAGCTTGTGTAAGACACATAACCACCACAGAACTAAAGCCACGGAGAAGAAAGAAAAAGAAGCACCTCTCATTGAAACATTGAGAGGGAACAAGATGCAGAAAGATGATCAGAGGGAATGGAACACACACAATTTATCTTCTAGCTTGAATGTTAATGGGTGTGAAGACAAACATTGATAGTCACATAGAAATGTCTTGTTAAAAGACTAAATAAAACTGTCAAAGATTTGAGACAAAAAAAATTTAATGCCAGCCTTTCTTCAGTGTCCTCTCAAGTTCTTCTTGTCAGAATGACTTGGGGTGGAAAGCAAAAAACATAAAAACATGCTTTTTTCATAAACAGTTACAACACCAAAACAAATAGCATTGTAGAATGAAAATAGTTTATCTAGATAAATGTATTTGCTTATCTTCATTACCTCTTGTGACCCCATTAAAAGGACAGGTAAGGAATAAAAGAGACATAAACTCAAAAAAGAAAGAGAAAAAGAAGGAATACAAAAGCAAACATACATGTCAAAAGGTTCATAAGCAGGTAAACAATTGAACAATGATAACTAATTTATTGAATTGGAGAAAGCCCTGGGCCTTCAAGTGACAGTGTGTATGTTGGGGGGAGGGGCGAGTAGAGTAGACAGGCCAATGACAAGAGAAAAATTCTGAGATGTTCTAAATTAACTTACATCTATCAGAGAGTGAAAGAAAGAGACAGGAATAATTAACCAGTTAATATCTCTGGACCAGTTAACAAGACTGCTCACATTTCTGAATGTATGTTGGAGATTTGAGTCAACCCCCAGGAGTCTATTACTTGACCACCGCATCCTGAATATGCCTGAACTTTCAAGACTGTTGTCTGAAACCAATCAAAAGTAGTAGATATTTCTTCTTTAAAGACTGTACTTCTATCATAGAACTTCCCATGCTTCATCCCCCCCCCCCTTATCTAGAGCCAATGTAAATTCATTCAAAACAATTTATATCTTTCTCCCCCAGAACATAACATATAAACTCCTGGATGGTAGACATGTTGCCTTCTCCACCCAGTGCTGCTGCTGGTGGTTTAGACTTCATGCTCCAGGGTGTGATCCTTTTCTGGTAAGCATATGGCTCAATAAACCCTTTCTTTTAAAAAGTCTTTCAGCTGTGGAAGTTAAGTGTTTTTTTTGTGTGTGTAACACCAAAAAGAGTAAGGCTAATTTGTACAACAGAGCTCTCGAAAGAGTCAGAAGTTAGAGGCACCTGGTACTCCTGGAGGTAGAGTGATGGATTAAACAAAATAAAGAGTTTGTTTGAAAGTCTCTGAAAGGAACAATGAAGCTTTTAGATCTCATTGCCCTGCCTGGTTTCAGACAGGAGATTACTTCTCTAGAGAAATTAACCAGCACAAAAGAGAAGACCTACAGATTCTGGTATGTGCAGGTGGTCTCCAATCAGTCATATCCCTGCCTAATACCCTATAGTAAAGCCCACCAGTAGGTAAGCTCCACTCATACAGACCTGCTAGCCTCTTTGTTAGGCCTCATTCTGAAATAAGAGTAGAAAATCGAGGAGCACAGATATTTGAAGAGTTTCCAACATAAGCTATCAAAAGTCTTAGGAAAAATTTTTTTCCAGCTTGGAATTCCTTGCCTAACCAAAATATGATTCAGATATGAAGGTAGAATAGACACTTTCAAACACAACATCTTAAAAACTTTATATTCATGCATTTTTCATGAGAAGATATTGGTGATACTCCACTAAAATAAGAGATTTACCAGGAAAGAGGGAGCTAAGGATCCAAAAATCCAGGGCTTTCATGCAGGAGAGAGAGACAGAAGAAATTGCTAGGGAAACTGGTGTGCCTCATATCAAAAGAACAATCAATAACTTCTGGTTTCAGCTCAGAAATAACTTGGAACTGGTAATTCCCAATCTTACAAGAGAGCTGAACAAGTTGAAAATCACCAACTGAAGTTACAAGGCAAATAACCACCCTCAATCTGCAGAAATAGGCCAGCTCCAGAGTTAAGATCTGTTCTTTTGGAGCAGATAATTTGGAACTGACAAGAAATAGAATTAGTGGAATCAGTGAGTGGAGTAGCACAAGAGTGAGAAACTTCTGGAAATCACACTTAGGTGGGCCACCAACTTCAGTGAGTTTTACCTCGAGGAATCTTACCAGATTATCAGGGTGAAAAACTGAGAAAGGTCCTCTTGGGGCCCTGGCAGGGGTAAAGAAAGAGTAACCATTGTG